ATAATAGGGAGAAGTCACCGCCCCCCCCCCCCCCCCCCCCCCAATTCCAGATGAATGTCTACTTGTGTGAGGAGTGAGTTTTTAGCCTCAGTCAGAGTTCTTGTGTGTTTCAAGTCATTCCTTGTTTCTTCAAGATTAAGATTTTATTACTTTTTTGAAATAAAAAGATTGTCACAGTACAACAGTTAGGTGTTGCATGATGCCCAAACTGATTTGCGGCCACACACAAATAGCTGTGCTGGTGGTCAGTGTCACTTGCTGAAAAGTTACTGTTTTTCAATATTTATTTATCATCCTACTACATTCTTCACCCATGAGCTAATTTTGCTTTTGTTATTGATCAATTGATTTGCAGTTTGTCATATACAAAGAAATTAAACAGAGGTTCAGCAATCATCTCTGGCTTGATGTTGTTTCTAAATGTGATATCTTGCAAGAGGCTCCTGTGATCTTCATCATGGAAGATAGCGACACTGATAACCTTGAACTGGAAAGGTATCGAAAAAAGGGACCTGAAGGAGCAATTCTAGTGTCGGTAAAGGATGGAAAGGGGCTTGATGAGGTATGTAATTGTTAATCAATTTTGACTTTTTTCGTTGGATGTGTAAAGATGTACTATGTATTTATAGTGGCTGGAAATTGAATTGGCTTGGCCTGGCTTTGGTGTTATAGGAATTTTTTTTTCCTTTTCTATTTATTTTCCTCAGAATTTGTGTTTGTGTTGGAGAGCCAGGAGTTGTGATTAGTCAATTGTCATGATATATGAATCTCCAACAATTTATGTGTGTTATGCTTTGAACTCACATTTGCTTAACTCATGCTTCGCCTGCATTTTGCAATCTGTGTTATGTGCTCTATCAAATGTGCAATTGGTAGTTGATCTGGTTGAATTTTTCATATTATTGGCTTCCAGATTTTTCTTCATGCGTCCTAACTTGGCCATTGTAAGATCTCTCTTTGTCGTTAGATTTCATCCAACTGTTTCTCAATGCATTTTTTATCGTGTTTTGTTTTGTAAGAGTTGGTTTATTTGCTTTCTATCCATCTCACCAACAAACAAAGATTGGCTTCCAACTTTTTTCCTGAAATAAAAAATTGAATTGTATATGCGTGCTCTCTGCAGTTGAAAGTTAAAGTGCATGAGCTGCTGGTCACCCAGATGGATAGGATCCGAAGCTCAGGGATTGATGAAGATAATCCTGAGCTAGTTACATGATGGACATCCATATTCAATCTTGGGGGTAACAGTTGATCTAAGGCTCTCGCTGGTTCATCAATGACTGCAGTACTGTTACATTCTTCGCCAGCTATAGGAACACCTCTTACATAATACAGACATTGAGTTGTGTGCTGGCGTGCTAGAGCTCACCAGGATTGAATCATGCTTTTGTTGCTCATTCTAAGACGCTCAATGCAGGTTGCAGTTTAAACCCCTGTGAGGGCGGAAGTACCTTGGGCTGTAACAGCTACTGTCGCTATTGTTGCTGGTTGTCGTCAGTCACATTCGTTTTAAGACGGAGGAGTATTGAGATTTTATATTCATATGCAAAGAGACAATTTACACGCGTTTCAAGCAAGTTGCAATGTAAAATGAATGTTCATGACTATAATGTAAATTTGGCAGAACAGCTGTTCATTCTTCATCAATAAATAAGAGGTCGATAATTTTACTTCACATCACTAAACATGAGATCATTGATTTTATTGATGCCAATATCAGATATGGGTTCAATGGGCTGCTCATCTCCCTCCCTCGATGGAATGAATGTTGAAGGTTCCCTACTGAACTCATCTGTAGAACACAAAACACATCATTATATAAACACGTAGCTCACTGAGAGCCAAAACGTGATTCCCACATTTGCAAGAGCAACTAACCGAAGATTGTATTCAAGGAAGTATGGAGAGGGGTTGACATGAAGTTGAGACCAACGTAAAATACCAGAGCTAATAAGATTGTCACCATGCCATAGGTTGGCACAGCCAATGCCCAGTACCTGAAAAGCAGAATCCAAGTTACGAGACTGTTCCAAGTTTCTCAGTCTAAATTACTCATCACAGCTATGCCATATGGCCACTGACTTGTTGGGATAGTAAAAGATTCCAATTGCTTGCAACCAATTGTCAGGAACATAAGCCCATACAAAGAAAATAGCTGCTCAGACAAAGAACAATGGAAGTCAGTACGGAGACAGTCATTCTCGTACTTCAACATGAAACACATTTTAAAGATTTTATAAGATAAAGCAGTTATTCCCCCTAGAAAGAATGGCAAACAAGATGATTCCATGTTAATTTGAGCAACTTCTTTCCTCTAGTAAATAAAATCCTTCGTGGCATTTAAAAAGATGAATTCAGAATTTCAAAAAAAAAAGGTACAAAGAAAAGATGAATTCAACCTGTGGCAACAACGGTAGTAATGGAGCCTACAAAACCATAAACTTCAGAGGATTTGGGGCCATGATCGCCAGACACACCAAACCCAGAAGCAGCTTTGTCATCAGGATCAAGAAAGGATACAGTCGCCTTCCTCCTCTTTGAAAAACTAAGCACTCTCCTAGGACTACTCACGGAATGCAGATCTTCCGAGCCTTGCATCTTAAGAGACGGTGGAGATGTTGTCATCTGTAACTCAGGTTTGGTGATAAATATTCCTGGGCTTTGTTTAATTTCTTCTCTATCCTGGTGGTGGTGATGATCACGAGGGAAGAGCTATTGTCCTTCTTCCTCCATAGCTGCAGAATTTGTTGAAGGGATGGGGATGGATGGTGCAGCTACTGGGTCAACAATTGGGTTTATTCACTAAATATTTTCATTGGGCCGGATTCTGGCATGCTAGGCCTTGTTTTATATGTGTGTGCGCGCGCGCGCGTGTGGCCTGACCTCTTGTGCGGTGAGAGTTGAGCGGGGTTGGAATACAATCGACAGATGGCAATTAATGAGTAGTTGAGCACTCAACATATTTGGAAAGGTTGATCCACGTCGTGTTATTATTTCAACTTCGGACTCAAGAAAAAGGCTATGAAAAAAATAAAAAACCTCGTTGAAGTTTGATCCTGGATGTTTTAGCTAAGATACGAGCCAGGAAGGATTTACGCCTTGTTCCCAGATATAATTGAACCGGTTTTTTATTCAATTTAAAATTAAATTTTTATTTTATTTTGATGTACTAATATATAAATATAGTTTTAAATAAAAAACATTTTGAAAAGGAATATTTATTATATTCACACAAATATACCCTTAATTTAATTTTTGGATTTTTTTTTTCAAAGAAGAAAAATGTGGTCAATGGGGATCTAAGATAGTGACAAAAATATATGTGTGTGTGTTTGGCCTTTTCCCAACACCTCGGATTGGAATGGAGGATGCAAAGAATATGAACAATATTGAAGTGGTCGTGGTAGTGGTAGTCTTGCCGCCTTCCTAACTGATGTGAACTTTGCTCGAATTCATTCCATCACCACAGATATCCCAGGTTAATAATCCTACTGGATTTTGAGGTAAAACAGTTATTATCTATATTTACTCCAACAGGGACATCCCGCCCCTTCTTTTTTTTTTTTTAATTTCATGTTCCAATTTATTTTGGCCTAATTTATTAAATGAGATTAGTTTTAAGTTGCGATAAAAATACTAAATTAAAATGGGATTGAAATATAAAATATAGAAAAAATATAGTCAGTCTCAAAAATCCACAATAATCTTTTTATATAAAAAAAAAATTTTGTTTATTTTTCAATCATGTGTTTAAGAAATGGGAGAGAAATTTATTATAAAACATTAAGAGAAAGTTATTAATTGGCTATAATTCAACCATCAAAAATAAAAAATTTAGTGTTAATGTATTTTTTTTATTAAGAAAAGTTCAATGAATATGATTTTTTCTTCTAGATAAAGTGAGGGAGGCATAACAAGTTTGGTTTTGATTTTTAGGTTTTGATTAATAATAATTTTTTTGAGTGATTTTAGAATTGTTGAATAATTTGTATAGATTTTTATGATATTTTTGGATGGAAATGGTTTATATAGTTCATGCTCATGGTGGAGATTAAATTCTAGGTGGTGACGAAGAAAATGATTGCATGTCTGAGTTTTTTTTTAAATATTTAATATTAAATTTATATTAAATTTTATCATTAAATGTTGTATTTATTATGAATCAGTCATAGTATTTTTTTATCATATAAAAAAATAAATTTAATATAATAAAATCTGAATAACAAATTCATATAATAAAATAAAATATTTAATTAAATATAATAAATTTTATAATATAAATAATAAGTTTGATAAATTGATTATAGTTAAGGTGATATTTTTTTTTTAATTTTTTTCTTTAAACTTGTCAAGTTGATAATGTTATATTAAGATAATTTTCATGTAATTTAATTTATAATTCAAGTAAAAAGTTATGCCAAATATTTTTAAATTTAACTCATTATCATGAGTTTAATAAAGTTTTCTATGATCTAAATATTATTATTATATATATATATATATTTTCAATCTAAACTACAACAACAATACAAGCAAGCAAACTAGTTACCCAAAACACCAATCCTCACTGTGGTTTTATCATGTCCTAAAATATAAACTTGCTATCTAAATTTGATTTACATTATTTTTTATTAATTTTTTTAATTACATCATTAATATTTGTTTAATTAAAAATCTTATTTTTCATTTATTTTTAGGGCTTGTCTTTAATAAAATCACTCCAATCTTATGAATTAAATTATTGATTTAAAAAATTATCCCATGTTGATTTTTATTTTTGTAAAAGAATTTTTTTTCTCTTTTCTATTTATAAGGTCATCATGATTTTGTGTTTTATATTTGATGCTTATTTTTTTAATCCAGGTTGACTATAAGATTCTATATTTCAAGTTTTTTAAGATTTAATCATATTTAGAATGTTTGCACGAATTTGTTTAGTTTTTATAGGTGTTTTCAATCTCACCTTATGAAATTTTAAATCTTTAAAAGTTATTATTTATTTTTTTAATTGCTATTTATTTTATTTAGAATTATTTTTTATTTTTTTCATTAATTTGCATCCTCCTTAAAGTTTTTTCTATTACATTTTTTTCTTGTTTTTTTTTGCCTTTCTAGTTTTTTTTTTTTTTTACCAATCTCATCATTCAAAATTAAATTGATTGAAAATTATATTTTTTTTCTTGAATTTATGTCAAAAATTTAAGGGGATGTGACTTTTAGATATTTGACCATACGTAAGAGGTTTACTAGTTTTGCTTTGTTTTCTTTTCTTTTTCTAAATTGATGTTTTTTTATTTTTTTTATCCTTTTGTTTTGTTGTTTTTTTGTTGTTTAATTATTTTTTTAAAACTTTTTTTTTTCAGTTTGATTCTATTGTGTTAGCTCTTAATAATTTTTTTATATTTCATCCCTGATATTTTTTAATTTATAAATAATCTATCATGCTACAAATGATTTTTAATTTCACCTCTTGTGATTTTTTAATCTTTCAAGTTTGATTCTAGTTTTTTTAATTGTAATTTTTTGGGTTTTTTTTTAAATTTCATCTTTATTAGGTTTTTTCTTGTTGCATTTTAGCCCTAATTGTTTTTACAAGTTTTGTTTTTAATAATTTTTTTAGTGACTTCATCTTTCAAAATTAAATTGGGTGACATTAAAACTTCTTAATTGATTTCAAATCCATGTTTTAATAAGTTGTAAGTTTTTAAAATTAAACTAAGTTTAAGAGGTTTATATAAATTTATTTGTTTTTTTAAGTAAATATTTTTTATTTTGAAGTTTGACTTTTATTTTTTGTTTTTTCTTTAGTTAGACTAGTGTCGAGTTATTTAATAATTTGAATATGTTGTAGTATAATTTTTTTATATTATTTAAATTATTATCTTAACCAATAATTTTTTTAAAAGAAATCTATTGTTGTTTTTACATGAAAAAAATGTTCAGCTGCATCAAAGCACGGTCAACATACAAATAAAAGTCTAGACACATGGAAAGTTGCGAGAAAAAGGGTGCTTTTAGTAGTTAGAATTACGCAAAGTGAAATGACCGACCCGAGCACACGGCTGAAAAGGAGCAAAGTGTGTTAGTGTTTTTAACACAGTGAAATCCGTGTTTTTTTAATTTTTTATGTATTATGTAAAATATTTTTTTAATGTAATAGTATTAAAAATAATTTTTTTTTTTAAAAAAATAAAATTACAACAATCTTTAATCTATTATAAAATTTAAACACAACCATTAAAAGATTAAACATAAAATTCCCTTTTACAACTAAAATTATATAAAAAATAATATTGGAACGATTTTAAAATTGCATTATTACAGAATACATACGAGGAATCTTTCTTTCCTTGTACTTCTAATAATATATTCATTGCTAGATACTAACGGGGTGGGTCTATTGTGAAACTCTCAGCGGTCCACGTGGCCAGGAAGTTATTCTAATTAACGTGAACTATACCAACCGCCCCCCCCCCCCCCCAGCCTGTATAAATTCGAAGGGAGGCAAACGCCCACCTCAACCTCATTAGTCCAAAGCAGTTAATACTTCCCTCCATTATTTTTCTCTCGCTCCGCTCCCCAAGGTATGCCCCTGGATCAGATCTCGCTTTCATTATCTTCTTTCTGATTCATCT